AAGTGAGAGAAGCCACATCAGTATTGCCAAATTCTACTCAACACAGTTGGACACAGTAAGTAATGTTGGAAACACATTTCATCACTGAACATGAAGAATAATAATTTTGTTGAATGTAACTCAATGTATTATTAGTCAGTAGGAACATCTGTTTACTAACTGTTTAGTTTTGTGTCTCCATAAATATATTAATTTAATTTAGATGTAGTTATTTTTATTATTTTCCTTATTACAGTATTATTTTGGTACATCAAATAAGCAACATGTCAATGAAATAGAAGACAGACTCAATCTCTTAAGCAGACACAGACACTGGAACAGATAAAACATCACAGTGAGAACAAAACACTAGTGACGCACATACAAAGGTTCGTGAGGTCAGCACAAGCAGTTCTTCACCTGGGAGGTCCTGTGACTCCGAGTTTCTGCAGCTCTGGAGCTGTGTCCCACTTCCCCGGCTCTGCCCAGGAGTCTCCCACTCATGGTGTCCTATTGGATGATAGTGGATATATTTACATCACACACTGTGATTTCCAATCTGACAATCATCACCATGAGCTGATCACCTGGGTTGGTCAGGAAAGGAAGTAACTGTATGGTAAACATACATTTTACCTGGTTTCAGCAAAGAAATGAATTACTGTCAAACTTCCTGGAAGATTCCCTTCCATGGAGAGAACTTGCAATAGATGTCACTCTCCTCATTCACTAGGAAACACACACCACCTCTAATCTGGCTCCTGGAATTCTTACTCAGAGCCAATGCCTGGCTATAAAGCCCTGGCTGAGACAGCCTGCTGGCTCTGACCACCACTATGCAGGCACATCGGGAGGGGAGTGTGAGGTACTCTGAGGGTGGTCAGGGCCCTGCCCACATCACAGGAGGCAGACAGTCCCTGAGGTGGGGAAGGAAGAAATCCAGGTGCCAGTTCCACTGACCTTCATTTCCTGGTTGGAGTCAGGAGGAAACAGCACCCAGCAGTGCCAGTCTCGTGCACACAGCCACAGTGGTGTCGGCTGCTCTCCTGTCTGCCCCCAACTAACTCACACTGAACATGACCTCCCAGCACAAATCAGTCTCTTCTCTGTGGGATTTTCTCATGAGCACCTACTCTGACATGGTATAAACCCCACAGAGAAGAGAGATGCACCAGTGAACAGGGGCAGCAGCCTGCCCTCTGCAGCTTCTGCAGGTGGAGACCCAGACACTGGAGGGGCTGCAGGTATTGCTGTGGGTCCTTCAGAGAAGCCCAGGGGCACAGCTTCCATTGGAGAATCAAATGATCTAAACACCTTCTGGAGTTTCTACTGAGAGTTCAGATTCCCACAAGGACCATAAGATGATCTGCCTAGTTATCTTCTCCCTACAGGAAAAGAAAAACTCTCTGAATTCCCTCTATAGAGGAAAGCAAAGATCTAGTCTGACCGTCCCTGGGGGAAGAGATCTAGGGACCAGGCAGGGCTTCCATTAGTCCTGTGCTGATTCTCCATGAACTTGGAGGAATCTCAGGGGCTTTAAGCCAGAGACAGACACCATGAATGATGGCAGCCATGCTCTTGAAATGATTAATGTAATGAATGCCTGCTTCTCTAGATCTTGTACAGGGTAGGATTGCTCTCAGAGAAATGTTGAGAGAGAACAGACCCCCCCCAAGTCAGGACGTGTTGCCATCTCCACTCAGGGATCATAGGTACAATGTGGATGGATTATAACATCCATGAGCAACAACTACTGAGTCCCCTTTATGTTTCAGAAAATGTGCCAAATACCTTACAGTGACCACACAGTTCAGTCTGATCATCATTTTCACTCTACAGATGTGGAGCTCGAAGTCTGAACGCACTGTCATGAGTCCTCTGAGTGTGGCCTGGGGACCACAGGGAATCTCTGAGAACCTTTCGAAGGCTCTACGAGGTCTGAACTGTTTTCACAACAATGCTCAGACACTTGGTCTTCATCCTCACTCTCTCGGGTGTGCACAGTGGGGCTTTCTGGAGGCAATATGCCATTCGATGAGGCAGCAGAGAGAACATAGAAGATGTCAACCCAGCTGTTCTCTGCTCAACCAAAACTTAAAGGTTTTTCAGAACTGTAAACCAGAACTGCTCTATTCACTATTTTTATGTTATATAGAAGATAGATATCATCAAAATACATTCTTTAGAATAATGTATAATGAAAATAGTTCTAAAGAATTTAAAAGCACATATTTCATAACCTCTCACTTTTCATTTCTTTTTATTTATTTATTTATTTTATTACACTTATCTAAATTTTTTTTACTTTTTATTTTTTTTAATTTATTTTTTATTGATTATGCCATTACAGTTGTTCTATTCCCCCTCTCATTCCCCTCCACTCTACCCCCCCATCCCCACCATTACCCCCCCTTTAGTTTATGACCATGTGTCTCAAGTCCTTTAGATTCTATATTTCCCATACTATTCTTGCCCTCCCCCCTATCTATTTTCTACCTACCATCTATGCTACTTATTTTCTATACCTTCTCTCCCTCTCTCCTCCTCCCACTCCCCTATTGCTAACCCTCCTTGAGATCTTCATTTCTATGTTTCCACTCCTGATCTAGCTGTCCTTTTAGTTTGCTTTTGTTTTAGGTATGGTTGTTCATAACTGTGAGTTTGCTATCCTTTCACTGTTCATGTTTTTTTAACTTCTTTTTCTTAGATAAGTCCCTTCAACATTTCATATAATAAGGGCTTGGTGATGATGAACTCCTTGAATTTGATCTTATCTGAGAAGCACTTTATCTGTCCTTCCATTCTAAATGAAAGTTTTGCTGGATAGAGCAATCTTGGTTGTAGGTCTTTGGATTTCATGACTTGGAATACCTCTTTCCAGCCCCTTCTTGCCTGTAAGGTCTCTTTTGAGAAATCTGCTGACAGTCTGATGGGAACTCCTTTGTAGGGGACTGCCCCCGTAGCTCTTGCTGCTTCTAGGATTCTCTCCTTCATTTGAATCTTGGCTAATGTAATGATGATGTGCCTTGATGTGTTTCTTCTTGGGTCCAAATTCTTTGGGACTCTCTGAGTTTCCTGGATTTCCTGGAAGTCTATTTCCTTTGCCAGATTGGGGAAAGTCTCCTTTATTATTTGTTCAAGTGGGTTTTCCACTCGTGACTGCTCCTCTTCCCCTTCTGGTACCCCTGTAAGTCGGATGTTGGAGCGTTTAAAGATGTCCTGGAGGATCCTAAGCCTCTCCTCATTTTTTTGAATTTTTGCTTCTTCGCTCTTTTCTGTTTGGCCATTATTTGCTTTCTTCTGGTCCACTCCATTGATTTGAGTCAGTTTCCTTTTCAGTGCTATTGGTTTCCTGTGCAATTCCATTCATTTCAATTAGTTTCGCCTTCATACGTTTGTCTAATTTGTGGCTATAATCAGGCAGTTCTGTGAGGATCCTGATCACCAGTGTTTTAAACTGTGCGTCTGAGAGTTTTGCTATTTCTTCATCGCTTAGATTTATAGGCTCTGGGACTTTGAGATCTTCTTGAACCATTTTTGGTTGTTCATGCCTGTTAAGTCTGAGGAGCAGAGCCTTGTACTGCCAGGTGGCTGGGTTGTGATGCTGTATGTGGGGGCATGGTCAGAGCTGGGAAATGGCGGCCCCTCTGCAGTTTTGCACCCTGGGTGAGGAGCAGAGCCTTAGGTGGTTCACCAGGGTGGGGCCACTCAGGTCGCTGGGTTAGGAAGGTGTATGTGGAGGCGGGGTCAGAGCGGGGAAATGGTGGCACCCTGTGCTGCTCCTCGCAGTAAGGCCTGCTCAGTCCTGTAGTCTCACCGCCCACTCCCTCGCTTGTCTATCTGTGCACAAAAGCTCAACTACAGTCAACCCTCGCTGTTTCCCCACAGTAGCTTGCTGAGTCACTTACTAGGTCCAACCCTGCGCCTGGTTTCCGTGCGCCCGAGTCTATCTGACCGAGTTTTTCTGTGCAACTCCACTCGACCAGCTGCTGCTTTCGCCCCTCTTACCAGTCAGGCTGAAGAATTTGTTGTTATCAGACTTCCGAAAAGTTCAATTTTCTGTGTTCTGACTGTGTTTTCTGTTGCTAATATTTAGTTGTCTCTAAAGTTGGTTGTGAGGGAAGGCACAGCATCTCCACCTACGCCTTCATCTTGGCGGAAGTCCCTCACTTTTAATTTCTATGTGACACACACACCAACACACATAAACACATAAATAAAGTGTCTTTGGGTTCTTAGTGAATTTTCAGAGTTCAAGGGGGTCCTGTACTAAGTGACAGATGACCAGTTTGGGAAGGGCCAGAGGTGGAAGCAGGTGAGTCCTACCAGACGTCAACTGTGTTTCAGTTTCCTGTCCCTGCAGCAGATGAGCACAAACCTGTGAATAGGCTTCCACCAGCACCCTGTGTCCTACTGTCTCAGTTCCAAAGGTCTGGAGGCCTGGTGGGCTCAGTTGCATTGTCAGTGCCTGACTTACAAGTGGAAGGAAAGGTTCAGGCAATGTGTGCCCCCCCATCTGTGGCCCTGCCTGTGGACCCTCCACCTTCACTCTTCACTTCCCCCTCTGACTTCCTCCTCTGCCAGGAGCCAGGGGGACCTCTGCTTTCAGGAGGGTCCCCTGACTGGGTTCAGCCCACAAGCACATCCTCCCTGGTTTAGGATCAGTTGGTGGGAAACATCCCTTTCCAGCAAGTCCCCAGACAAGAGCTGGACTAGATGACCAGGGGGCCAGTGACTTGGGAGACCTTCTTCAGAATTCCACCTGTCCATCGAGTCTTTTCTTATCTGCTGTGCTCTGTCCCCACTCCTTACATCATGTGTTGGTCCTTTGGTTGATGCCCACTTTTCCACTGTTTTTGACATAAGCACACCTACCTCCAGAACTCCCCTCCCAAACTGTCCCAGCAACTCTGAATCCCAGCTCAGAACACAATTTCCATTCCTGTGCCTCACTCTCAGGACAGGATTAGAATGATTCAAAGTGTCTTTTCGTTTTCAATTTGCATAAACTTACCTGAATGAACAGTTGGTTGCACAGTCCCCCACCAGGCTGTAGAACTTTTTCAGCAAAATGTACATCACTCCTGAGCATCTGGGTTTAAGCAGCACGTACACAACAGATGCAGTCACAGCTTATTTAGTATAAGGAACACGGCCCCAGCGTGGCTCTGTCCCACATCTGAAGGCCCTGGGATAACTCGGAGTGACAGGTGCATCCTGTGTAAAGCCATGACATACATTTCCATAGTTATGTGCTAACTTGATTGGTACCTGCTTCCCTTTGAGCGGTGTTATTCCTACCTGGTAATAACCTGTGCAGAACTCACAGGCACATGAATGAGCAGCTAGATAAATCACCACCTTCCTCAGGCTACATTCACCACTGGGGCTACACTGCGAGGCAGCCTAAACCCAAACTTCTGACACTTTTGACCATCCACATTGGTATTCCAAATGACTTACTTATGTGAGGCAGTTGGACCTTCCTAATCTGCTCATTCCAGGGAACAGATCTTTTTCTACAGTCTTTTCCTCCTCATCCAAAGGAAACTCAGCTTGTCCTGTGATGCCATGAGAGCCACCTGTCTCTCGCAAAGCCCTTTTGGTCTGTGTTTGGGGACAATCCACCATGCTTGTTATTTCCATTGTATATCAAAGGTATGAGTGCAGTTTCAAGGTTTGTTTTGTTACCCCACAAAAGATGGGTCCCCCATATTATTGCCAGAGAAGTGGTAGTCCTCCCTCAGTGTGACTTAGTCTGGGTGTACCACAAGGCCTCCTGGAAACTGCCTCCTGCACACAGGGCCCCTTCCCAGGGAGTTGGTACCTACCCTGTGAAGTCTATGTTTTCTTCCCCTAGTAACCCATTGTCTTTTTCTGTTCTGTTCAATAACTTTCCTCCCACAAAAATCAATACATACCTGTGCCCAGTTCCCCAGGTGGTAGCTTTGTTCCATTAAAGCAGGGACATTTCTTAGCTTGTGATTATCAAGGTGGACAGTTACACTGTGATAAGCCAGCCGAGAACTGAAGAACACATGGTCTGATGGCCAGATGGATAGTGAGTCCCGAAAACCTCATCCTAAAAGAGAGCCGGTACAGTAGCAGCAAGCTAAAAAATAGGAGTCGAAAGTTACTGCTACCTAGCCAGAATTCCATCCAGTCACCAACAACTGGTCCAGTTTCTCATCCATGAGCCCATATTTGGGACATGACCAAAATATGTCCCAGTAAAGGCCACTCAGAACTGCAGGCTTCCATTTGACCTTGTCAGCTTCCAAATGCAAGGTCATCTGAGCAAACTTGTGACGTCACCACTCTGTGTGTCTGGCATAATTGTGCTAAGAGACAGTAGCATTCTGTAGGTGGGAGCTTTTCTTGAGGCTCTGATGTAATGTTAGATTTCCTTACCTCCCTTTGTTTACCCTCAGCTACTCCTCCTCCCCACTTATCCCTGATTTTCAGATTCCGTCCTTTGGAAGGGATATTAGATTCAGCCTGTGCTGTTACAGCTGGAAGTTGAGCAGGTGTCCTGAATTGTAGAGGGTGGGGTCACACAGGGGCAGGATTGGTGGGCCACCTCAACCACCAGGCAACACAGCTGACTCACTGTAACCCCACTCTTGCCAGATGGGGTGAAAACAGAGGCACCCTAGGAGCCATCAGGAATCCTGGCACAAATGTTTTCAGGTACAGCTATATTGTCTTGCTTAGGGATTAGCCCTGCTTCTGGGGCAGGGAAATAGAAAGTTGGGATTATGTGAGGAAGAATGCTCAGTGGTACCAGCATCACCCACAACCCTTCCCTCAAGTATCCCCAGAAAAGTGGAGGCGTCCTGAGTATTGGACGATAGTAGAGTAACTTCCATACAACACGTTGGGTACAAGGACACTGGGGAACTACAACAGTAAACACAGAGCTCTCAGATGAACAAGCAGAACTTGTGAAGCTGCCATCCCTAGGGTTCAAGGCACACAGCAGAGGCTGGGTGTCTAGAATCCAGAAGGTCAGAGGAATTGGGGTTCCGACTTGACCTTATGAGGAGAAGGGGCACCCCAGCGCCGCTGTGGCCCCAGCATGGAATGATGAGGCTGGCTCTGGGAAGGTGAGTAACTAAGGCTGGGCAGGGGCCTTCACTGCCACTGCCAAGAGCTATTGGGCAAGGCTGACAAGAGCAGCAGGCAGACAGAAAGGAGCAAGGTCCTTTTCCCTGCTCCAGGCTCCCAGTCTGCTTTAGAGCTCCCTACCTACACAACATAAGCATTTGGAAGCCACGAAAAGCAGTAATCCACTCTGCCTGGTGTGGCTCAGTAGGTTGGATGTAGGCCTGTAGATGGAAAGTTTGGGGGTTTGTTTCCTTTTCAGAGCCCATGTAGACCTGGATTGCCAGTTTGGTCCCAGTTGCCACACATACAGGAGGCAACCAATGGATGTTTCTCACATTTATGTTTCTCTGCCTCTTCTCCCCCTCCCCCCCGCAACATCTCTCTAAAAGAACAAGAAGCATGTCCTTGGATGAGGATTAAAAAAGAAAACTCATAGTCCTAATGTCCTAGTTGGGTTAAGAAAAGTTGTCAGGTGGACCACAGATGCTGGGGAGTGAAGTTTGTCAAAAAGAACAACATCCACATCACTCACACTGAGAGTTCATTAATGGGCAGACACAAGAATTACTTGAAAACACTAACGGGAAGGTGAGTTTTAGGTGTGATACACAGAGAGGTTTGCTGAATCCTTAAATTGAAGCAAACGTGCTAGCTACTCACAGGCAGAACTGTGGGCCAGGGGCCTTCCCTCTGAGGTCCAGTCTAAGTCACAAGGAAAGCACACACCCAGAGGAGAAGGTGTGCTGCTTGCTAAGGGTGGACAACCAGAGGGGAGGAGGTCGCCACAGCAACAGCAACTAAAAGTCAGATGTTGCTACTTTCTGGTCCATGCACCCATAAAACAGACTGAAAATGGGACATTTTCCCCCTACTGGTTAAGATGGCTGGATGAGACACTGCGTGTTGAGTGCTATTGATGTTCAGTGCACAGCACTGGGTGAGGGATGGACAAATACGGTAGCTGTTCTCATCAGAGCCCATCTGGTTTTCATATTCAGTGAGCTCTGCTGCCCACAGGAGCTAAGTAAGGGTTGGGTGGCTTTTCAAAATCACCTTTTATGCTATAGTATTTAAAATTAAGGCAGAGATGAAATATGAGAGTTTTTCTTGTATCTTACAAATTTTAGTAGTTAAATTTATTCTATTTTTTATTTTCACATATATTTTCATTTCAGCATAGTTGGTGCACAGGATAGTAATGGTTAGATGATTTCAGGTATAAATATAGTAATGTGACATCTTGAAACACAATTTGTAGAAGTTATAGTCATCATCCTACCACCCTACAACCAACACTATACTATTGTATGTTGTAGATTTCGCTATTTACTGCATGTATGTACCATAATTGCAGTGACATTACATTTGTAATTATTAGTTCACATTTTCACTTTAAAACTTATAACTCTTTCTTGTGTATCTCTGAAATCTATACAGTCATCATTTTAATGACTGTATAAATAACTCTTTGAGTTAGAGTGGAAAAATTGGTCACTTTATCATTTTGTTAAGTGTGAGTTTACAACTTTCATATTAAAGAGAATTTTAGTGGGAAAAAAGAGTCACATTCAGTAATTATATTCCCTCAGGTGAAGGGCACACACTTACTCTTCTGATCAAGTCTGTTCACTCTCAGTGTGAGATCCAGAAAGACTCTTGAAGCAAGTGGCCACCCTCACCTCAAAGCGGGTTAAAAGTACACTTTATGGTAACACCCTCAGAGGTCACCTAGGTGTGTGGGACACATCCCCGACCACTGTGTTTGAGAAGTAAAAAGAATTACTAAATGTCAATCTGCCATCAAGGCAGAAGAACCACACTCTACTAGTCAACTACAGTGTCTGGTAAAATGTCCTGGGTAACAATCAGCATTTTCAGGAGGGAAATGACAGAGAGCTGGACTAACCAGAGTGCAAGTGCTGATGAGAGACACTGGAGAACATGTAAACACTCTGTACATCTACATAATTCACAGGTCTTCACTTAAAGGCTCCTGGGGACCATACACAGCCCAGATTGTTTCTATGAGACTTAATTACCAGTCCTGCCCTGTGTTAGGTAGTGGCTCAGCATTTTACCCCTGAAGATGGAAACAGTGAGAAAGGCTCCTACACCAAGGTGGTAAAATAAAAGAAGGCAACCGATCTAGCACCTGCATTTGGACCCAATGAACTCAGAAGGAAAAGCAACTGAAGGTTAACCAGGGTCCTGCCCTCTGGGAGCTCCTGTAGAGGCTGTAGACCCTCTTCTTTGTTTCTGACTGAAAATAATGGGGAATTCTCAGAAAAGGGGGTGTCAGTCTCCAATGGGATCTACCTAGTTGGCAGTCCTGGGGTCTCACTGGAGGGTGGTTTGTGACATGCAGTGTGTGGCCCCTGCCACCAGGAAGGAGACAGAGCAACTCTCTTCTCCTGCTTCTGCTCTCACCCCTGCAGGACACACAGCCACAGAGCACTGCTCTGAGATGACGTCACTTATTACAGAACCCAGATCCTCTGTGCTGTTTGGATGTTGTGCATCTCAGCACTGCCCTGGTCCCCAAACCTGGTCCAGGTGAACCTTAGAGGAAGTAACATCAGTGTGTGTGTAACAATGAATAAGCTCCTGGCATAAACCATGATATTTAGGCCTTTCACCTCTGTAATCTGGGTCCCAAGAGTGGCAGCAGAGGTGGCACATAGGCTCCCCAAAATACCATCAGAGTCCAAGTGAGAACTCAAGGTATTGATAGACAGATGGTTTTGGAGTCAGCAGGAAATGGCCCGGGAACTCCAAAGTGTGGTCAAGGTGTCCCCATGGGGCTTATTACAACATAACTGAGAGAGGGTTTTCCACGGCACAAAGCATTGGAGGTACCCTCTAATCTCTGACCTGAAGTGCGCAGATTCGGAGTCCAGCCCTTCCAGGGAGGGGAGGAAAGGTCCCTCTCCAAGGTGGCTTCCCTCAAAGCTTCACGCCTCTTTTGGGACTGGGAGAGGATCTGCTACCTAACACTGTCATATTTATTTGTACTCTGTTGCACTCTCGTACTCAATGTAATGGAGTCAAAATGGTATTTTGGAAATCTCATATCAATGAAGCATGCAGTTTACAACAAATTCATTCCTTACTGTGTGATCCCTGACTTTCTGGGATCACAACCTGAACTTGGGAAAACTGAGCAGTTAATCAATTTTGGGAACAGGTCCACCTGTGCTCTAACTGTACATTTCCATGCTGATAAGAAACACACTAGATACACAAAAAATGGCTTCTGATCATAAGACAAGCCTGATGCATCTTGGGATATCCATAAATATTGGCACCTGTCTTCATCCCCATTTGTTTGATTGTACATGGAATCTTCAGAAAATCTAAAAACTGACACACAGGTGACGAAATTAGTAGCCAACTGATCCTGTGAGAACAGTCATTTAGCACACAGTGTGTCATCATCTGACCATCCATTATAAAAACAATTAGAAGGTAATAAATAAAATATTAATGTTTATGATACCAAACCAACTATAACCTTGGGAAATGAATCATCTCAAAATTACATACTTATGCCGCATTATCAAGGTGACACTCCTCTAACTTCTAAAAGTGATCACAGCCAAAAACACACATATATAAAACACAAATATACACAAAGGATATTGACACACACAACACAGGCAGCTCTTACCTGCAATAAACACGTTCTCAGGTATGTACGTCATCCATCAGTATGGGGCACTTCCTGTCATCACAGCTCTCATTTCAACCTGTATTTATAGCTCCTATGTTACAAGCAAGGTCCACTAAAATTTGATTATGCTTTCTACCTGAAAGCAGAAGGGGTAAAAATAAAAACACACTGATCATTTAAATGTCTCCCAAATTAAATTATCTGAAAATCAGTTTTCAAGTCATTGGTTTTTTACCCATATAGTAAATATCCAACTAAAGAAAAAATGAATATTCAGAAAGTCACAGTAGGTGTATAATTCATGGAAATAATTATAAATTGTTAGCAAATGTATTTATTGAGTACTGTGTGTCAAAGCTCAACAGTTTGATGGGGGTTTGTTCGTATCTTCAAAAAACAGAGGGTAAAGAATTGACTATGGCTTATTGAGCAGAGCCCGAGATACAGACACTTCAATTGGTAGCTGTCTGGGTTCTGACTGTGAGAGCTGTGACTGAGAAGGGGAATGTATTTCTACAGTTTTGAGAAATACCCTTCAAAATAGTTCAATTACATTTTCTATGATGCTGGCTTCCTTGATTCATATTGTTATTTTTATGCATTTTCAGACACTCATATCCTTGCCTGAGGACTTGATTACTGATTTGAGAAAGAGGGGGAAATAGGGGAAGAGTGAGAGAAAAAGAAATATCCACTGGAGAGAGAACCATTGATAGGTTGCCTCTCACATGCACCTTGACTTGGGACTGAACCTGCAATCTTTTTATGTGCCTTGAGTGGAAACTCAATCCATGACCTTTTGGTTCATGGGATGATGCTCCAGCCAAATGAGCCACCTGGACAAGGTTTCTCAGATTTTTAAAAAGAGAAATGGGTCCTTCAATTGGAAGAACAGAAACCATAAAATTCTAAAAGAAAACAAGCAGTAAAATATTAGATATTTATTCTGGAAATATTTTTGATGGTATAGCTCTTCAGGCAAGGGAAACAAACAAACAAAAAAGACTAAACGAATGGAACTCTATCAAACTGTAGAATATTTGCACAGCAAGAGAAACCATCAACAAAACAAAAAGACCACGCACTGAATCGGAGATGATTATTCACCAAAGACATATCTCATGAGGTATTAACAATATACAAAATCTATAAAGAACTCAGACAGCGCAACACTAATAAACAAGCAATCTAACTGAAAAATGGGCAAAGGATGTGAATATACATTTCTCCAAAGAGGACTGACACATGGCCAATAGACATAAGAAAAGAAGCTCAATGTCACTAAGTGTTAGAGAGATGCAAATGAAAACCACAGGGTAACTCACCTCACACCTGTCAGAATGGCCATCATCAATAAATAAACAAACAACAAGTGCTGGTGAGGACGTGGAGAAAAGGGAACCCTCCTGCAGTGTTGGCGGGAATGCAGACTGGGAATGCAGCCAGTGTGGAAAACAGTATGGAGCATCCACAAAAAATTAAACATGGAACTGCCTTATGACATAGCCAATTAACTTTTGGGAATATATCCAAACAAGCCTACTACTAATTTCAAAGAATATAGGGTCAGGCACAGATAGTATTAACAAATTTTATTACAGAACCTCTTATCACAAAATCATAAGCATGTAATTCTGTAACACGATATATCACACTCACATACCACGTGACATTTTAGGTGAAATGCTCAAACTAAAACTAGATATTATGATATACATATCATTACCCTTTCACCATACTTCTGCCAGAACATGTATATGCACCTGATGATTATTACAATCTTGTTTACAACAGCCAAAAACTGGAAGCACGCAAGCGTCCATCAGTAGATGAGGGGATAAAAAAGCCTGTGGTACATTTACACCATGGAATACTACATGGCCACAAAAGAAAAAGAAGAAAAGTCTTGCCATTCCTGTCAGCATGAATGGACCTGGAAAGCATTATGCTAAGTGAAGTAAATCAGTCAGAGAAAGACAAATATCACACAATCTCATTTATACGTTGAATCTAGTGAACACAATAAACTGACAAACAAAATAGAAACAGACTCACAGATCCAGAAAAAAGACTGACAGCTGTCAGAGGAAGGGGGTGGGGGCTGAGGGAGAAAGGTGAAGGGTCAACCTCCCCAGCATCCTCTCCCACCACGTCCCTGCCCCCCTTGCCTACTCAGCTCTGTCACACTTGTCTCCTGCTGCTTGCTGCCACTGCAGTTATCCTCAGCTGAGTGGTTCAGAAGCTACAAGAATATTGTCGGGAAATATTTCAAGAACTTCAGCAGGGGATTTAATCTTGCTCTGTTAGAAATGATCCTGACCCAAGAATAAATGTAAAGTCTGAATAATGCTCAAAAGGTTTACCTCCAGAACCACTTAAATATTTACTAATACATGTCCTTCACTTGATCTTCAAGATATTTTAGGATATTTTACATAATTTCTTGTTGCACTACACCTTTCCCCAACTTTTACCCTTTGCTACTAAATCATTTCACAAAGGAATTTAGAGTTTTTTAACCTTCCATTTCATTCACCACACAACTGGTGAGGCACATTCACATGACTCTGCAGCGTTTTCTGTATTAAAATTTCAGTCCATTTCATAAGGTCTCTCACAGGGCATTACTTTTGTTGTGCTGTTTCCAACTACCACACAGTGATAAGAAGTCAAATATCTAAACATAAGCCACAGAAGTGGGTTGGTATAATTTTCTCACATTTAGTTTCTTCTCCATGTAATATTCCTGGCTTGAGAAAATGAGAATTCACTTTTTTTAAAAGAAAGACTAAAAATTCCAATAATTTAATTGACCCATTTGAACCTTAAAAGCTATGCTCTTCCATGGAATTTTACTCTATTTTCAGAGCTAGAATTTGAACAATTACTGCTTGTATATGAAACTTCTATTTGGGAGAACTTTCTGAGTTTTCCCTTCACCTGGACCTCACCTGCAGCACCCTACCCAAGGCGTCCTTCACCTGAGCATTCCTCAGGCTGTAGATGAGGGGGTTCAGCATGGGGTTAAAGAGACTATGAAATAGAGATAGAATTTTCTCCTTCTCCTCTCGTTGACTGGAGTCAGGGACCATGTAAACCACCATGGCTATGCCAAAGAAGAGCCCGACCACACAGAGGTGGGAGGAGCAGGTGGAGAAGGCCTTCCTGCGGCCCTCCCCAGACTGGATCTTCAGGATGGCCCAGAGGATGTGTGTGTAGGAGACCAGCATTAAGCAGAGAGGCCCAACTAAGATAAAGACAGAAGCAGCGAAGATGACCACTTTGTTGAGCCAGGTGTCACCACAGGCCAGCTTGAGGACAGACAGGATCTCACAGAAGAGGTGGTTTATTTCCCGAGACCTGCAGAAAGGCAGTCTTAGAAGGAGAAGCACGTGTATCAGAGCCAGGACAAATGAGCAAGACCAGCACATGGTGGCCAGGACTGTACACACAGTCCAGCTCATGATGACAGTATACTGAAGGGGGTGGCAGATGGCCACATACCGATCATAGGACATTGCCACCAAAATCAGGCATTCTGTAGTAGCAAGACCCAAATACAAAAATGTCTGCATGATGCATGGGACAAAGGAGATGGCTCCATTTTGGGTCACTAATTTTGCCAGCATCTTGGGGACATTGTTGGAAGCATAGGACATGTCAATGATGGCCAGGTGGGAGAGGAAGAAGTACATGGGGGTGTGTAGTCTCTGGTCCAGACAGATGAGTATAAAGATCATGCTATTTGCCAACAGACTGAAGGCGTAGAGCAGGGAGAAGACCCAGAAGAGGAGCACTTCTGTCTCTGCGCTGAGCTGGAATCCCAGCAGCATGAACTCAGTGGTAAATGTCTGGTTCCCCCACATTCTTTACAGATACCTGGTCAAGAACTGAAGTGTGATAAAGGTCAGGGCTGGAGAATCAATACAAGGTGGCATCAATCTCAACGTGAGCTCAGAGAAAGGTTGTATTTTTGTCAGTCCTTGGAAGCTTCCCCTTCTCCCCCAAACTGGTTACTTGTTTTTAACTTTCATATGAAATAAATGTAAACTTATAAAAAAGAGTCAAGAATTACTCAAAGTACTCCAATATAACCATATGCCCAGTTTTAACACATTGTACTATTTATTTCATATTTCCATTATAATTCTTTTACTTTATATTATTATATATGAGTGTTGCTCTTTTCTGAAGAACTTCAGATACAGTATGAATAGAAACAATACCCATTTACCCTTAAGTTCCTCTTTTTTTCCATCAGAAACAAGGACATTCAGTAATCTAACTGAAATTATTGAAATCAGACAATTTGTTAGTGACATGATTCTTTAATTTATAATATTCTCTCTCTACTCCTCTCACCCAGAATCTAATCCAAAATGACATGTGAAATTTAACATCATTTATCTTTAGTGTCCTTTCATCTGAAATAGTCACTCCATCTGCCTTTGGCATAATGAGCACGGAATCTTGAAAGATTTTAGGGAAATTCTTCACTACAATGTTCTCCAAATAGCACTGCATGCAGCTCCTCATTTTTAAATCACATTATTCACTTTCTGCAGGGAAATTAAATATCTTCCATTGTGCTTCATGGGCAGGTGCATGAGGTTCAGTGTTCCATCACTGGTGACACTCACCTGGATCGCTTGGTGAACATGGTGCCTCCTGAGTATCTCCATTGTAGAATCTTTATCTTTTTCCCTAATGCAATTTCTGGAGCCTCCATTAAAGATACTATATAATATTCTGTTCCTCATAGAGCTTCCTAGCCACTAATGTCAGTGCCTGTTGATTATCTTGCCTGACTTTATTTTCAGGAGTGATTGTTGCGAAATGTGGTGTTCTTACTCCATCACTGCCGGTACATTTACTGGGTATCAATTTCCTCGTAAAGAAAGGCTCTATCATCTACCTACCTATCTATCAATCATCTGTATATCTATACGTCTGCGTCTATCACCTTTCTATCAGTATGGACTCATGAATTTTGTAATCAAGGGATTATAATTATTTCTTTTTATTTATTCATTCTTAATTATTCTAGATCTAAACCCACCAAGCTTGCCCTTTTGTTTCTAACACATCTCCATAGTTTTTGAGCACTTCTATACTTCTGATGG